TAAAAGCCAAAGTGGTCCCAGTGGTGGTAGGAGCACTCAGGGCTGTGACTCCTAAGCTGGGAGAGTGGCTCCAACAGATTCCCGGAACAACATCAGAGCTCTCTGTCCAGAAGAGTGCAGTGGTAGGAACAGCTAAGATACTGCCCCGAACCCTCAAACTCCCAGGCCTCTGGTAGAGGACCCAATATTGAGGAAGACACATACCACCCATAGGGATGAGAGGGGGGATATAGATACAGATATAGATATAAATGAATGAGAGAGGATATATATAAATATATCTAATTTTTATTATTTTTTATATCTATATCTCTATATTATATCTATATCTCTCGCTATATATATCTTAACTCAACTATTTTACTTTCTATTCTGCAGACTACTTCTCAGAAGATCTTGCTGAATTTGAACAGAGTAATCTGTAAAGGAAATGTGTGTGTGTGTGATGTACAAAAGTGACTGGGGCTGAATGTGACATATCCATCTCTTAGCAAGGCATTTGTTCTAACAGGTTTTGTGCTTAGTAACTTTATTCTGTGAGACGTGGCCAGGGGAAAAGGTAAGATACAAATAATGTATTCCAACTTACTTGCATTTATCTTCTGGAGAGGTACCATCTTTTCTGGAGCAGCTGGAATTCTTTTCACAGGGCTGGTCTGCAAGAGACGCAGCTGAGGATTCAGCTTTCCTTTCACTTGTGCCACAGGCACTGTCCCTCTGCTAGATGAGACCTGCAGATATATCTAATACAGCAAGATTCCAGTGGAAATTAAATGTTATAGGATTGTGTTATGATGTCACAAAGGTAGCTGGTGTTCCAGAAGTTTCAGAAGCTTCCCTGTTGTGCAGGGAAAACAAACATACGGTTTTATATGCACACATGCACATACATCTTGCCACGGCTGCATATATCTGAAGGGGAACTGCACAATTTACATGCATGGTTTCTGAAATGTTTATAGCCTTAGCTTGCATTGACATCAACAAAGACAGGCTAGACACCCTTTAAATCTGGAGAACCACGCAAAAGTTACTCACTATATGCAACTTTTATGCACTGATGTACATTCCTAACTATCTGCTCTGGTTTTCTTTTCCTTGGCTGCTTCTGTTGGAAATACCTGTGGATCTTGATCAGGACAGTTTTTAGCAGAAGCTTCTGTCTTCCTCAGCATTTTCCTTCTGCTGGTTTGAGGGAGAGGTTTCAAACGCAGCAAAGGCTCCTGGCCTTTTGTGGCAGTGGGGAGGACAAGTGGTTTATCTGTCCTGCTGCTCCTGATAGTTGCCTGAGGCTTGAGACAAAATAAAGCAGCTGCAGCTTTTGAAAAGAGCTACTATTGATTCTGGAGAAAGATAGCTTAAACGTTTTTAAATATACAGATTTTCTAGGGAAAAAAAATCCATTAAAATGCGGAAGAGGTACATGTCCCATTCGAATAATATTCACATATCGACACATTCACACACTTCTGTATGGTACTCAAAGCAGAGTAGCAGTTTTTAAAAAGCACAGAATCAGTAATCATAAGACTAAGTTAAAAACAAGTGAGCAGATTCTACAGAACCGAAAAGTACAAAAACTTAAGTGAATAAGGTTTTAAGTGGTTGTCTAAACATGTTTATCAGAGCATACTTTTCCAAATGGACTACCCACAGAACTTTCTTTTATGACTCTACTGTAATTCACAAGGTGGATATAACAGAGCTGGGTAATGTTTGGTGGCCAAGAGCTGTACGGGTAGTCCCCAGTTTAAGAACAAGTTCCATTCCCAAAGTCTGTCCTTAAGTCAAATTTGTATGTTGG